CCCCCCAGGTCCTTTTCCCCCAGGCACTTCCCAGCCCCTCTCCCCCATCCTGGAGCCCTGCAGGGGGTTGGTGTGACCCCAGGGCAGGACCCAGCCCTTGGCCTTGTTGAACCTCATCCCATTGGCCTCAGCCCATGGATCCAACCTGGCCAGGTCCTTCTGCAGAGCCTCCAGACCCTCACAATCCTCTTCCTTGCTCTGAACTTCATTAAGAAAACTCAACCTAAAGGATTCTATGATTCTAAGAATAAAATGCTCCAAAATTGAATCTACATTTTAGTGCTTTCAAGGTCCTTAAGATATTGTCTTAAATCTGTTACAACCAGTTCATTAAAACAAAAATAAAGTCAGTTTGATCAAATGGTTCTTAGCTGCCAAAAAAAGCTTCTCTCTGTTTCCCTGCTGGATTTGCTGCCTCTTAACTTCAACTTGTCACCCTCTAACCTCAATTCCTGCAACATTTGTCCTCAGGCAATCCAAGAAGGCCAGTTACCAATGTGGAATGTTACCATCAGTGACAGGACATCTCTTACCTGGGATTTCTTGCTCTCTTGCTCCTTTTTCTCCATCTGGGCTTGCAGCTTCTTCCTCTCCTGCTCAAGTTCCCTCACTCGCTTCTGTAGCTTTAGGAAGAGGGTCATGTCCATGGCAGCCTTCTCCATCCCAACCTCCTGGAGAGGAACAGGAGAGTGGGGAAGAAAACAAGAAGATTTCAGTCAAGTTTTATCACTTTTGTTTGGAGAAGCCCTTTGAGATGAAGCCCAACCCTTCCCCCATCCCTGCCAGGTCCCCACTGCCCCGTGTCCCTCACCCCACATCTCCAGGGCTTGGAAACCCCTCCAGGGGTGGGGACTCCACCACTGCCCTGGGCAGCCTGGCACAGCCCTGCACAGCCCTTGCCAGGGAGACATTGCTCCTCAGGGCCAACCTCAACCTCCCCTGGGGCAACTTGAGGCTGTTCCCTCTTGTCTTATCAAATTAAATCCTTCAGATTTTCCAGTCCACCACACGTTCTTCCACCATGTGCTCCAAGGCCCACCCCCATCCTCCTGGTGGACCAGGACTCTTCTCCTCCTCCTCCTGAGCCTGCCCAATTTCCTGTACCTCCACTTGTTGTATCACATCCTCAGTGTCTCCCATCTCAGAGGTTGATATGGAGGGATAGTTGGAATCAGACTCCAAACTGCTCTGGTTGGATGGGTTTCTCCTGTGGCCTGGGGCTTGCTGCCAAGGAGTGATGGAGAGACAGAAAACATTCAGCACTGGAGGCAGGTTTCCTCACAGAGCATTCTTTCTTAGAGCAAATATATTCAAAGTCCCCTTCCTTAAAGTCTCCACTGTCACCTTCTAGAGAATTCCATTTTCTAGCTCTTCTGCCCTACCCTAAACATTCCTATTAACACAGGGGAAGAGCTGAAAAGAAAAGGTTGAGGTGCTACAAGAAGCTCAGTTGAAAAAATTCTCCATGAATTAAAAGGGTTTTCACCACACTGGATGCCTGTGAAGTGTGAGTGTGCAAATCGGAAGAGCTGAAAAGAAAAGGTGCTACAAGAAGCTCAGTTGAAAAAATTCTCCATGAATTAAAAGGATTTTCACCACACTGGATGCCTGTGAACGTGCAAATCTGAGCTCAAGCTGCTGGTGTTCACAGCACCCCTTCAATGCTCAACCTTTCCCCCCCAATCCAGCATCACTCTGTGACCTCATTTTCAACAGTTCTTCTTCAACCTTGGCAAAGCTGAACCTCTCCACTTTGACTTTGGACATTCTGAAGTCATGTTCTTGGGGGTTTTTTTTGGGTTGGGTTGGGTTTTTTTGGAACCCAGCACCTCCACGTGGATATCAGTGAAACAAAAAGCAAAACAAGAAGCATGAACCAGCTCTGGTTGAGATTCACAGATGCCTCTAAGGAGGTAACAGAGAAGTGGGAAAGACCAGGCTCCTTTTTCAAGGCACACATATGGTCCAGCTTCAGTAGAAGTTCAAGTTTAGAATCATAGACTTGTTCTGGTTGGAAGAGACCTTCAAGATCAAGCCCAACCACTCCCCCAGCACTACCAGGTCCCCAAATAACCCACGTCCCTCAGCACCACATCTCCATGGCTTTTACCACACCAAACATCAAGCACAAACTGCAGGATCAGGTCAGTCCTATGAAGTGTTTTGGGGATGAATGAGCTGCACGATCCACTGGCAGCCCCAGAACACAACAAAACAGGGAAAAATTCTGATTTTTTTACCTTTATAAGAGTGATTTCATCTTGCAAGTTGTCATATCTCTGCTCCAGCCTTGAATATTCCTTTACCAAGTTCTGGTAACGAGATCTCTCTTCTTCCAGCTCTTGCTTCATCTGGAGATTTTCCTCAAGTGTGTTTTGTGCCAATTCACCTTTCAAGAGAGAAGAGAACAAAATTTTCCTCGTTTCTGAAATGTCCTTCTTGTAAATAGGCACAAAATCAGTCACTAACAACCAAAACTCTTGTATTTTGGCCAAGAACCTTTCAAATACATAAAGCAGTCTCTAATATTTACAGATTATGATGACCTAGAGTCATCTCTTTGGAACATCTGTAGGTTTCCAATGCTCCAAAAGCCCAAAATGCTTCAGGAGTACCAGAGAGCAGGGGCAGATACATCCACAGGACAATTCATGATGATTTTTAAGGTCCTTTTCAACCCAAATACTTCCATGATATGATTCTATGATGCTCTTTGTAAACCCTGCAACAAAAGCTAAGCTGAAAAAGATGATGGAAAATAAAATAAAGCTCAATACAGCCCTGAGAGTTTTTTGGTTTGGGATTTTCTCAGGTTGCCTTCTTCTGTGGATATCTCAGCATCTGAGACCCTGCTTCCAAAACCACTCAGAGGCTCCTGTCACTTCAATCAAATCCTTTATCACAGCTCAATGTTGTTCACTGTGCAATTCCTTGGATCCTTTTATTCATCAATCTCAGGATTCTGTTCACCTCTGCCCTCTGCCTGCACTAAATGCTGCCACATCACTGAATTAAAAAGCCCTTTGAGGTCTTTTATTCCACATTTCACCAATCCAACCAGCCTCTATCTGACCATCCACCAGCACGACAACACGAGTGGAGTCACCTAGAGGAGAAAACAATTCCAAAACCCCCCAGGAAAGGGCTGTGGGGAGATAACACTTGTCCAAGCAAGAGAAGCACAGAGTTAATCCCAAGTTTCAGGGGAGAACAATTAAACCCCTTCATTAGCAGAGGCAGGATGATATCAGAAGCAGTTTTTCTCACCTTCAGATTGACCCAGGATCCTGCTGTTAAGCTCCTCTTTCTCCTGCTTCAGGAGAGCATTTTCTTCTTCCAAGTCAGAGATACGCTACAGGAAGAAGACAAAGGATTGAGGCCTCTGCAGAGGGTTGAAGTTCCACCTGGCTGGAGCTTTGTTTGGCCTTTCTTTGCTCTTTGAAAGATCTTGGGCTTTGAAAGCCCCCAGGAGTGGAGTGGAGGAAAAATCTGCTGCAACAACAGTGACTAACTTGGCTACTCTGAGGGCATCTCTCCCTTAAATTAATGTTTTCTGTAGAATCTTACAGACTAGTGAGTAGCTTTGGTGGCCATGATCTCCAGGAGTGAAACTCCTACAAGTGATCAGGTCTTGAAATGAAAGCTTTATTGCCATATCTCCATGGGCTTCATGATTATCTCCAAGTCAAAGCACTGACTGGGGTAAAAGAAAAAACCCTCTGCTGATTATTTCAAGCAACGTGGCCCTGAAATCATAGAAGAGAAGCATCAACTTGTTGCAGTTGGATGAGACCCTGAAGATCATCAAGTCCAACCCTTCCCCCAGCACTGCCAGGTCCCCACTGCCCCGTGTCCCTTGGCTTGGTTGGACAGGGCAGGAGGTGCCTGGTGAAGAGCCCCATCTGGGCACTCTTCCACCCAAATAAAACCATGGCTAAGGAGAGAGCTTTGGGGGGGGGCTTTTTAATCTCCAAAAGGGACTCATCTTCAGGTTGTTGCTCCAAAAGAATTATTTTAGTCCTTCTCCCACTAGAATGTGTTCTGGTGGAATGGTGGCAGCACTGGGGCACCTCAAAGGGATCCAGAAAGCACCAGGGTTTGCATGGAGGTTGAGAAGAAAACCAGAAACATCTTTAGGCTCCAACCCAGCTCCAGACTCTCTAAAGACATGTGGCCACCAGCCTAAGCTGGTGTTGGGGCAGTGCTTCTGCTTGGGTTGGTCTCCACACAGGTCATGTTCTGCCCACTCTGAAAGGTGGGGAGGGACCTTTTACAACTGCAGGTAGTGACAGGATGAGGGGTGATGGCTTCAAATTGGAAGAGGGGAAGATTCACATCAGAAGTTAGGAAGAAGTTCTTCCCCCTGAGGGTGGTGAGACCCTGGCCCAGGTTGCCCAGGGAAGCTGTGGATGCTCCATCCCTGGAGGTGTTCAAGGCCAGGTTGGATGGGGCTTGGAGCAACCTGCTCTAGTGGGAGGTGTCCCTGCCCATGGGAAGGAGATGATCTTGAAGGTCCCTTCCAACCCCAACCAGTTGATGATCCTCTGATACCTACAACACCAACCACTCCAACAGAAGCCCTCACATCCCATACCAGGAGCTCCAGCATTTCCATGGTTGTTAAGTACCCTCATGCCCAGCTGAGTCTGGGTTTGGAGAATTTCTTCATAGTGCAGAAGGCACCAAAATGGGGCATGATCCTGCCATGAGGCAGATGCTGCTCCTGCAGGATGTCCACCTGCCCTCTCTGCTCTGTGACCTCATTTTGAGGGTGACTTTTAAGGGCCAATTAGTGAGGAAAAGAAAACTAAGACTTCAAGAAGAGAAATTAAGTGCCTCCAGCCCTGGGAAGGGCAAGGTTTCACCAGCACGACCTCCTGGACAGCAGGAGATGTGAGAAGGGGACCTACCTTTCTCAGCAGGTCTTTCTCCTTCACGTAGCTGTCTTCCACCACCTTCCTCTCCCCATGAGCTTTCTCCAGCTCCAGTCGAAGATGCTCCAGCTCCTCCTGCAAGCTGACAAGCTGGTTGCCATCACTCTGCTGGTATTGGACCAGTTCCTTCTTCAGCTTTTCCACCTCGGAGGAGTGGGTAGACAGGAGGGTTGAGAGCTGCTCGTTGAGAAGTTTGTATTCCTTGTTCTGCAGCCAACATGCCCAGAAGAAGAGAAATGAGAAACCTGAGTGAGATCAGTGCACGTAGGGAGGAGCTGTAGAAGGAAATGTTGAAAATTCTGGAGGATGGGGAGAAACAAACTTCTGGGAACAACCAATTCCATGGCCATGCTCCTAAAGCTCCCAATAGTTGGGTTAAGGATTAGAGAAGCATTTGTGAAATTGATGTTACACATGAAACAAAGGCAACCAAGCCAAAAATCTACACCAAAAATCTACACTTCTCTTCCAGCTTCCAAGCAAGGTTGTTCAATGCAGTTGGTTTGCAGGGTTTTTTTTTTTTGGGGGGGTTGGTCTGGAGCATTGGGTTTGTGGTTTCTCCTTTTACTCCTGGCTCCTGTGCCCACAGAACTCAGGGTGACAATGCACCACAGCAGAATTGCAACCTGGAGCACAGGGAGCTGCCTACAGCCCAGCTTTAAGTCATGTCCCAGCTCCACTGTTGCTTATTTATTCAGATTTTCCCTTGGAAATCACTTCTCCAAGACTTGCTCCCAAGTTTGGAGACATGAAAACTCTCTGGGCAACCTGGGCCAGGATCTCACCACCCTCAGGGTCAAACATTTCTTCCTTCTCTCCAGTCTAAATCTCCCTCTTCTAGTTTCAAACCATCCCCCCTTGTCCTGTCCCAGCAGATCCTGGTCAGAAGTCTAGCCCATCTAGGCCCGCTTGAAGTCCTTGCAGGCCGCCAGAAGGTCTCCCTGGAGCTTTCTCTTCCCCAGGCTGAACAAGCCCACAAGTTTTTAGTTGATGTGGATGGAGGCTGAGAAAAGCTTGTGGTGAAGATGCCAGCAGCCTTAAAACACATAAATAAAGCCCTAATATATCCTTTTAAAAAGTCAATGGCCTCTGGAAGTTCTGACATAAAGATTTGGACTGGTTGGGACAAGCAGTAAAGGTGCCAAGTCACAGATCCTGAGGCTCAAGTTCTTCCTCTGAGGTGTTCATCAGAGTCAAGTGAGGAGAAAAAAGATCATCCAGTTCCAACCCCCAGCCATGGGCAGGGACATCTCCCACTAGAGCAGGTTGCTCCAAGCCCCATCCAACCGGGCTGGGGTAGTGATGGAGCATCCACAGCTTCCCTGGGCAACCTGGGCCAGGGTCTCACCACCCTCAGAGTGAAGAAAGAGGTATGACCTAGGTCTCTAGTACAACAGAGTTTCCAAAGATCTTTACAGAGTGAAGAAGAAGAAGAGAAAAGCACCACTGAAATGAGAGAATTTTATCTTCTCAGTCTACACAGGTTCTTCCAGATGAGACAGAGCCCTCTACAAATGGATAGTGACATGGTGGATACCAAAATCCCCATCTTTACTTTGGACTAATCTCTTTTATATTCCAAATCTGGGTTGCAGGACTGGTCTTCTACCATGGCTCTGATCATCCTTTTGACCCCTCTCTAGGTGTCCTCTTGTCATGAGCTCCTAGAGAGCATTTGCTGTCTCCTATCAGCATCCTTGGTCCTCCCTGCAAGAGGTCCTCACCAGAGACTGCTCAACAGACCCTGTTAAACCTGAACTTGCTTGATTTCATCCAGCCCAGCAAAGTTGGGACAATCCTGGTTTCAACCCAATCTCTAGGTTATTTTCCTGCCATCTTTTTGACCAAAAAGAACAAAAAAAACCCACAAAATTGGTCCAAGGTGGATCAACCAAATTGTTCCAATGTGGATATTTTGCAGTAAAACAGATTTAAACCTTTCTTGGGCAAGCAAAAAATCTTGTGCCTGGTTTGGAAACAGCATTAACAGTCCCAATTTGGGATGCTGGAGCACACGAGGTGAGGCTGATGGACAATAATAGGTCTGAAGGTTTTCCAGAGGAAGATCTCCTCCTCCTCCTCAGGGGCACTCAGGGTTTTTGCACCTCTCCATCCATGCATGAATTAAGCAGCAGAAATAGAAACATTTTCTTCCACAGTCAGGCAGCAAATGAGGTGACTGCAGCTCACCAGGTCACCTCCAATGGTTTTCCTCTGGAAAAGTTAATGAAGAGTTGGAAAAGTTGGGTATAGAGAGGAGCAAGGACTGAAATGAAGAGAGTTCAGGGGAAAATGGGATGGAATCAACTGGCAACTGCCAGGGATAAAAGATCCAAGGTATTAAAAAGAAAATCTACAGGAATGGGGGTAAAAAAAGATGATTAAAATTAATACTGCTGCTCTATCACCAAGTCCAGTGGCTGAGGAGACCCAGTGTAGATGTTCATGCTGATGGCACAAGTCCAGCCCAGATACATGGACCTAAAATCATAGAACTATAAAACTGTTTTGGTTGGAAAAGACCTTAAAGATTGTTGAGTCCAACTATTAACCCAGCACTGATGAGTCCAGAACTAACCCATGTCCCTCAGCACCACATCTCCAGGGCTTGGAAACCCCTCCAGGGGTGGGGACTCCACCACTGCCCTGGGCAGCCTGGCACAGCCCTGCACAGCCCTTGCCAGGGAGACATTGCTCCTCAGGGCCAACCTCAACCTCCCCTGGGGCAACCTGAGGCTGTTTTCCCCCTGTCAGGGGCTGTGCAGAGGCAGAAGGTCTCCCCTGAGCCTCCTTTGCTCCAGGCTCAGCACCCCCAGCTTCCTCAGCTGCTCCTCCCCACACTTGGCCTCTAGACCCTTCCCCAGCAGCTCCGTTGCCCTTCTCTGGCCACGCTCCAGCCCCTCAAGGTCCTTCTGGGAGGGAGGGGCCCAAAACTGACCCCAGGATTCAAGGTGCAGCCTCCCCAGTGCCCAGCCTGGTGGGATAATCCTTGTCCTGCTCCTTCTGGCCACACTGATGCTGCTCCAAGCCAGGCTGCTGGTGATGTCCCATCCTAATTAATCCCACCAAACCCCCTCTAGATGAAGGGTGGTCGTGAGCAGCTTTCTGATCTAGAAATACATAGAAAACCTTATGCCTGAAGTTCTCTGCTCCCAACCTCCAGTTCTCCTGCCAAACCCCAGCCCCTCAGGAGGCATTTTGAGTTGAAACACCCTGGTTTGGGTCAGACCCAGCTGAGGTGACCCCACCATGGAGTGAATTAATGGGAGAAGCAAATCTGCCAAGCCTTGGGGTGTCTTCACTCTGCAGGAGCTGAGCCAAAGGAGTCACTTCTCATCATCTTCAGAGCAGGAACTCTGGGGTCACACAGGGCTGGGAGAGATTTAAGGCAGGGAGGAGACCACGGGTGATGTGGAAGTGTTCTGACAACACCCCCAACACCATCCACTGCAATTACTGGTAAGTGGTACTAGAAATAAAAGAGGCAGCTTGAATTGCAGAGGATGTTTCTCTTCCAAAAGGGTGTTTGAAGGATGTAGGTGGATATTCATTTCTCCAGGACTACAGCTGGGGCTTACTCAGCGTGGATACACTCCTGCCTGAAGCTCTTCTACAGCTCTGGGAAGCAATTAGCAGAGTAACTCGTTAGGAAGGTGTGAGTAGGGGGAGAAGAGCACTCTCAGCAGGTGACACCAAGCTGAGTGGAGCAGTCAAGGTGGCTGAGAGACAGGATCCATCTGGGCTTTGGAGCAGGGCCAGATTGAAGGGGACCTAGAAGAAAGCTGGGGATGGACTTTGGAGCAGGGGCTGTTGGGACAGGACAAGGGGGGATGGTTTGGAACTCAAAGAGGGAGATTTAGACTGGAGAGAAGGAAGAAATGTTGGACCCTGAGGGTGGTGAGACCCTGACCCAGGTTGCCCAGAGAGCAATCAAATGACCTTCTGCCAACTTCTCTATCTTGTGTAGGATTTCCTTGAACCTCAGAGAGTTTGAGGTGCTGGACCAGCTGCCTCCCCTGCAGAGGCAGAGACTGAAAACCATCAGCAGCACAAATTCCTGCTCACCAGCATCCAGCTGCTCTGTTTTGGAGGAACATCCCTGATGTCTCTGGCGTGTCACAAGGTGTCCAGGTCACCTCCATCATCTCCAGGAGCAGGTTCTCCCCTCCTGACTCATCTTTTTAGGCTATTGAGTAACAACAGGACTGGGGGGAATGGGGCAAAGCTGGAAGGGGCAGATTCAGGCTGGATGTGAGGAAGAAGTTCTTCCCCAGGAGAGTGGTGAGACCCTGGAAGGGGTTGCCCAGGGAGGGGGTTGAGGCCCCATCCCTGGGGGTCTTTAAGGCCAGGCTGGAGGAGGCTCTGGGCAGCCTGATCTAGTGGGAGGTGTCCCTGCTCATGGCAGAGGGGTTGGAACTGGGGGATCCTTGTGGTCCCTTCCAGCCCTGACAGATTCTGATCTGTTTTAGCAGAGGACTTTAGAGCCCTCATGGCTCAATGGTTGGACTGGATGATCTTGGAGGTCCCTTCCCACCTAAATGATTCTATGATTCTGTGATTCTGTGATCATGCCTCTGACTTCTTTGCTCACCCCAGAATTTCAGAAGCATTTAGGTTGGAAAAGACCCATCACGGAGTCCCACCATAAACCAGAGTATCCCTGTGACCAAGTGGCGACTGCTGAAGACCTCTCTGTGATCACAGTGACACCCCTCCAGCCATCCCCACAGGTCCCCATCCCTCGTGCCACCTCCCATCTCCTCCTTCTGAGCCTTCCTAGGAGGGATGACAGAAGAAAGGCAAAGCAGGAGGAGGACCCAGGACTCGCCCCAGGACCTCTCGGGACGTACCTGCTCATCGATCTTCCTCTGCAGCTGGACCACCTTGTTCTCCATGCCAACGTTGAGCTTCCTGAGGTGCTCTGCTGAGCGGGCCTCTATCCTCAGAGCCCTCAGCTCCTGCTTGGCCTTCAGGCGCCGGAAGCAGCACTGCAGGAGGATGGTGGCCCCCCGGAGCTGGAGGAAACGCCTACGGGCCAACCAACCACGGACGTGCTTCTGCAGGATGGTGGCTTTGTGCTCCAAGAGGACCTGCAAAACACGGGTGGAAGGGACTAGAAGTGTGGCCAGAAGGTCGAGGAAGGTATCCCTGTGATTCTCCCCCTCTGCTCTGCTCTGGTGAGACCCCACCTGGAGTACTGCATCCAGTTCTGGAGCCCCCAGGACAAGAGGGACGTGGAGCTGCTGGAGCGTGTCCAGAGAAGAGCCACCAGAATGATCCGAGGGCTGGAGCAGCTCTGCTGTGAGGACAGACTGAGAGAGTTGGGGCTGTTCAGTCTGGAGAAGAGAAGGCTCCGAGGGGACCTTATTGTGGCCTTCCAGTATCTTAGGGGGCCCTACAAGAAAGCTGGGGAGGGACGTTTTAGGATATCGAGTAACAACAGGACTGGGGGGAATGGGGCAAAGCTGGAAGGGGCAGATTCAGGCTGGATGTGAGGAAGAAGTTCTTCCCCAGGAGAGTGGTGAGACCCTGGAAGGGGTTGCCCAGGGAGGGGGTTGAGGCCCCATCCCTGGGGGTCTTTAAGGCCAGGCTGGAGGAGGCTCTGGGCAGCCTGATCTAGTGGGCGGGGTCCCTGCTCATGGCAGAGGGGTTGGAACTGGGGGATCCTTGTGGTCCCTTCCAACCCTGACAGATTCTGATCTGTTTTAGCAGAGGACTTTAGAGCCCTCATGGCTCAATGGTTGGACTGGATGATCTTGGAGGCCCCTTCCAACCTAAAGGATTCTAGGATTCTATGAAGTTCTACCTTGTGGTAGATCCTCCTGACCAGCATGCCCCTGGCAAAGGCCTGGATGGTGATGGTGGCACCACGGACTCTCAGGAAAGCTCGGCGGATCCGCACCATTCGGTACTGCTTCTGGAAGATGATGGCAGCTTTGGTCCTCCTCAGGTGTTCAGCAAGCCTGCAAAAGCCCAGGAGAAAGGTCAGCAGGACAACTCAACTCCTGGAAGAATTTTTTGTCCAAAAAAAATGGAAGCAGAAATCACCACACCTCAGGATTCCACACCAGCGTTGAACCCAAATGTTTTCCAGTTTTCCACCTTGGTTTGAACTCTCTTGGAGCCAACCAAGGTCCAAGTTGGCTCCAGCACTTCCCTACCTATCAAAAGCCAACGTTGCACGGGGCATCCAGTGACTGAGTGAGAGCAGCAGCCAATGGATTGGATGTTGAAACTGGTGTGCACTGGTTTGGCAACGTTCAGGAGAGGAGCCCCCAGCAATCCACAGGGAGCAGATCGTGAGGGATGTGGTCAGCTCCACGTCCACGTGGCTCCCCTTCTCCAACTGAAACCAGGTTCAATTTGCTCTAAATATGTTACTAAATGCTTCCATTTAATTTGGGAACTAGCTTGTTTTGCTGAATTTCTGGTTCATTTCCTTATCTAGATGGTTCATCCACTTCTTTGTGAAAATCATCTCAAAGCCACGTCAGGTTGGCTTCTAAATTCTCTTTCTCAAGGATGATTGTCTCTCATTAGGACTCATTGAACATCCCACTGATGAGGGATCATCTTTCCAAGAGAAGAAGACAGTTATTTGGATGACATCCACCCCTAGGTAACCTGCACGGAGAGGTGAACTGAGAAAGGATGTTGAAGAACCACTGCTGCTTCCAGCTTCTCCTTCAGGTCATACCCCATCACTGGGACATCACCAGGGGTTCCTCCTCCCCTCCACAGAGGGATAGTTGGTTGATGGAAAGTCAAATCATAGAATCATAGACTGGTTTGGGTGGGAAGGGACCTCTCAAGGTCACCCAGTCCAACCCCCCTGCAGGGAGCAGGGACATCTGCAGCTAGAGCAGGGTGCTCAGAGCTCCATCCAACCTCCCCTGGGATGGTTCCAGGGATGGGGCAGTGACCACCTCTCTGGGCAACCTGGGTCTCACCACCCTCATTGTCCAACATTTCTTCCTTCTCTGTGGTCTAAATCTCCCTCTTTTAGTTCCAAACCATCCCCCCTTGTCCTGTCCCAACAGGCCCTGCTCAAAACTCTGTCCCCAGCTTTCTTCTAGACCCTCCTGAAGCCTGCAAGGAGGTCTCCCTACATATATAGTCCAAGTCTGTAGGTGTCCATGGACAGCCCATCACAGAAGTTAAAGTTAATCCCTGACTCTCCATTTTTCTTCCCCTCCTCTTATTGCTCAGGTCTCATTGGCTTGGTCTTCAAGTGAGTTGTAAGGCTGCTGAGAGGGACCTGCAGTAAACAGGTCACCAAACTCTCCAGCTTTGCTTAGTTGAGACCTTCTCATCCCCAGATTGTCCATGATCCAATCCCTCTCCCAAGCACACCACCATGAACTCAGTTAATGTTTCTGATGTTCTTCCAAACTCTAACATGATGGAGAGGAAATCTTTGGAAGCAACATGGGAGTTCTTCACTTCAATTGCTTCACTAATTGATATAAATGGACATTCATCCAGTTTTTTCAGCCTGGAGAAGAGAAGGCTCCAGGGAGACCTTCTGGGGGCCTTTCAGGACTTCTAGGGTGCCTAGAAGAAAGCTGGGGGCAGACTTTTGAGCAGGGCCTGTTGGGACAGGACAAGGGGGGATGGGTTGGAACTCAAAGAGGGAGATTTAGACTGGAGAGAAGGAATGTTTGACCCTGAGGGTGGTGAGCCCCTGGCCCAGGTTGCCCAGAGAGGTGGTCGCTGCCCCATCCCTGAAGTGTTCAAGATCAAGCTGGATGGGGTCTGAGCAACCTGCTCCAGTTGGTCTTTAAAGGTCTCTTCCCACCCAAACCATCCTAAGATCATGACTGAAAAAGTGACTGTGAAGAAGCCTTGTAGCAAACCATTGACCTCTATTCTTCTGTCATTCTTCTGTCCTGCAAACAACCCTGTTGCCAGGGATCTGGAGTGACCCTTCTCATTGCAAAGGATCCAGCAAATCAGTTCTGAGACCTCCCCTTGGACACTGAGGTGGTGCAAACCTGGTCCCTGCAGAGGAAGTCCCAGAAAAATACTCCTCCTGTGAAACACTTCCACCTAAAGATCTCAGAGTCATCAGATGAGAACCTAGTTGTCTATGCTACAGCCCTGGCTGAGCTCCTCAGAATTAAATCAATATCCATATGACATCAAATTGAGATAGAGAGTTTTCATCTCTTGCCCCTTGGAGAGATGGACCAGGGATGAATCCTGACTTCAGCCCAAGAGCTTTGACCACAGTGGTCAAAGAGCACAACGTGGATCCTGAAAGGCAACACCTCGTGCAGAACATCTCCAACCTCTCCCACACACAAACCCCCTCAAGTTTGAAGGTCCACGAGGTGGAACAGAAGTGCCATGGAGAAGTTGTCCACTTGCCCTCCCACCTCACCCTTCCTCAGAGGGCTTCCTAGGACCCACCTCCGTGCCAGGTGCCCCCGGGCGTAGCGTTGGATGAGCACTGCAGCTTCTCTCAGCCTTTTGTAGCTGAGCCTCTGCAGCCAGCCCCTCACTGTCTTCTGAATCAGGATGGTGGCAGCTCTGAACTTATCTGCTCGAAGCTTCTCCAGATATGCCACCTGGCCTGCACGGAAAAAGATCTTGGTACGGCCAAACTGGAACTTGTCTGGATCCTTTTCAAAAGCATAAAGGAAACTCAATTTAATTCAGGCAAACATTTAGTTTTCTGCTTTCTTCTTTTTTTTTTAAAATCTATCTAGTTCAGAAGACACAGATTCAAAAAAGAAAAACCCACTTGGAATCCAAATGATCAGTTGACATCTCCTTTTAATTGGGTGAAGAGCTTAGATTCCAAATCACCTTCTCTATACTCAATGAAGAGTGCAGCACTAGGCTACAAAGTTCCACATCATTACAGGAATTTGGAATGGGGTTTTTTTAGGAATTGGGGGTTTTTGGAGGTTAAATAAACTAATGCAACACTAGAGGGATGCAAGAAAAGATTTAAGGCTCAGATCTGCTCTGCAAATGGTTCTGCAGCCAAGGGAGATTTCAGAACAACACAGGTGAGACCAAGAAGGGTTTGGTGAGGAGAGGTGCCAAAAACTTCTTACTTAAGAAGAAAAAGGTCTCAATCTTTGGGAAGAAAAAGTTCTCCATCTATGGGAAGAAAAAGTTCTCCATCTATGGGAAGAAAAAGTTCTCCATCTATGGGAAGCTTTTGTAGCTTTTTTGAAGTATTGGTGGCCATTAGATGCCTCCCACAGCCCAAAATAGGACATTTATTGCATTTTTCTCCTACTCATTTGTGTAAAGAGGCCTTGAATGATTGGCTAAGGTTCAGGATGTTGTCCAAAGCTGGATCTCTGAGATGTGTTCCAGCCATGGAACACAACTTTTTCTAGCCAAAAGTTGAAGGAGGAGTTGGGGGAATGGGTTTTCTAAACATGGTCTAGTTGGTCATGGACAGCCAATGACAAAATTCTGGACTTGATCAGCTCTGAAATCATGGAATGGTTTGGTGGGGAAGGGACCTTTCAAGATCACCCTTCTCTCCAGTCTAAATCTCCCTTTTTTGGTTTCAAACCATCCCCCCTTGTCCTGTCCCAACAGGCCCTGCTCAAAAGCCTCTCCCCAGCTTTCTTCTAGGCCCCTTTGAAGGACTGAAAGGCCACCAGAAGGTCTCCCTGGAGCCTTCTCTTCTCCAAACTGACCAAGCCCACCTCTCTCAGCCTGGGGTTCCAGCAGAGGGGTTCCAGCCCTTGAAGCATTGTTGGGGCCCTCCAATGGTACATTGGTAGAACATGGTCTGTTCAACTTGACTGCAATCAAGTGATCCCATGTCACACTTGCTCTCACTACTTCCTTGTTTGACCATCTTATTGTGGAACAAGCCCCAGGCTGAAGAAGCACCTTCACAAGCAGCAGGTGAAGCAGGAAAACCACTTCAAATCCTATCCAAGCCACGAGCTTCTGTGCTGTCAAAATCATCACCAAAGATCTGCTCCCAGCTCACCTTGATGAGGTCTTCCAAGAGGGTCTGACAGATCTGCTTCTTGTCCTTCTTAGAGAGGTCTCTCTTCTTCATAAGAACACGGTACCTATTGAAGAAGTCAGGGTAGGACCACCTGAAAGCAAAGGATACACAGGATTAATCTCCCTGCTGGGCATCATCTCCTCAAAATCAAGTGTTTGGAGGCATGGAGGAGTCAAAACATGAAGCTCATATCCCAAGGGATCTCCCACCACTACCCTCAGCATGGATCACAGCATCCCAGGTTGGAAGGAACCTCAAGGGTCACCTAGTCCAACGTTTCTTGGCAAAAACACAGCCTAGAGAAGATGGCCCAGCACCTTGTCCAGCTGAATCTTCAACGTGTCCAACGTTGGGGAATGTTCTTTCAGGATGAAAGCCACCTGAAAGACCTTAGGTCCCCAAAGGTGACCCCCAATCTCATCTCTCCCCTGCCACTGAAGGACCTATCACTGCATTTCTAGCCTGGAACAGGAAGGGGATGGACCACCCTGTTTTCACTCCTCCTGATGGGCTTCCCAAGCTGTTGCCTTTCACCCAACAAAGCTGTTCCCTCCAGAAAGGACATTTTCATTTGGAAGAGACCACAGAACTCCTCCTTTGGCCAAAAAAAATCTTAAAACCCCATCTTGATAAGATGATAGAGAATTAATAAAACAGAAACTCTTTCTTCTTTTCCTCCTCCAAACTCTGTGGCTCATTAAATGGAATGAATCAATTCACTCATCACTCCACGTTGAGATCTGGGGCCAAGACCCTTAAAACAAACCCAAAAATCTCTGGCTGTCTGAAAAGACAAATCCAGCAGTGAAAGTTCCAAATCTGCAACACTAATTAAAGGAATTAGAGCTAGGAAATATCATCTCCTGCTGCTGCTGTCAGATGGGAGATCCTGCAGACTGGACCCTGAAATTGCTTCAGCCAACTTGCAGCCTTCTCCAAAATAACCCAGTTGAGTTCTGGACCCCTCAAAAACTGGAGGTTTTCATCCCAACGTGTTTCCAGCCATCCTCATGTCCAAAAAACACACAGAAGAAACATCAAAGGAAGCTGGGAGAGAACTGTGGAGGTTTTGTTTTCTGCCCTCAGGCATCTGAGAGCCTGAGCCTCACCCAGAGGATGTTCTAGAAGCCAAGGTGAGAAGACACTTGTATGAGGAGCAGGCAGACAGAAATATCTTCTCCTCTGCCCAGCTGCCCCTCGTGGGTTGTTTCTGTGTCATCCTCAACTCTTCCTGTTTTGCCACTTCCAGAGAGTGGGCAGGAAAACCCAAATCAACCAATGGCCACAGAGATGGTTGTGATGGGTCCCAGTTTGCATTGGTGGGGCTGGGTGAGACATCACACTACCTGAACACCTCCTGTGTCCAAGACTCTATAAAATACTTCATCTCTGAGGAAACTTCTTGAAGGTTGGAAGCTGGGATACTTGGTAAGATATTTGGTAGCTTAGTGAATGTTTCAGCCCTATCACAGAATCAGTTTGGTGGGAAGAGACCTTCCAGATGGAGTCCAACCATTAACCCAGCACTGCCAGGTCCCCACTGACCCATGTCCCCACATCTCCATGGCTTTGAAACCCCTCTAGGGATGGAGACTCTACCACTTTCCTAGCTACATGGGCTGGACTTGGGGGTGGGCAGGCAAGAACCTCAGCTTAAAAATCACCAAAAATCCTGGATTACCACTCAAAAACAGTAAGAGATCTGCTGTGGGGTTAGGTACAGCAAAACCAACCACAAGGATTATGGAAGACTTGGGGCTTGGATCCTGGTGGGCTTCAGCTTCTGCTTGATTCCTCTTTGCTTTCTGAATTCTTTTGGGTTATAATTATATTTCCCAGTTTTTAGAGGGGATTTTAACCCTTTTGGTTTGTACAAGTCAAACCAGTTTTCCTTTGGGGCAGCTCCAAATCAAACCTGACAGGAGAAACCAAGCATGAAGCCCAAGGCACGTGGCCAACCTGGAGACCTCTTGCCTGCCCAAGGAGAACTTGGCAGGAGGAGAAAAGACAAGGAGGGAGTATTGCCATGACCCTGCCAGAGTCAGTTGAGAGGCTGATCTTATTTCACTGCTGCTCTTTGGAAGAAGAAATTGTTCTGTAGGTGCCACCCAGACTCCTCTGACCAAGAGCAGATGGTGAAGAGGCAACACACATAACTGGGGGCAAGGGTCCAAGCTGGGCAGAAAGCACCAAAACCCATCATCTTCCTGCACTGAGATGATGGAGATCCTTCAGCTGCTTCCAAACAAGAGGCAGAGACCTGCAGAAAGTCCTGAAAGATAGATTGGAACTCAGTGCAGAAAGGGTCTTTCTTCAGGGCCTGGCCTTCTCATCTCACAAGGGGGTAGAAGCTGATCTTCTGGCTGCTTCCATCTTCAGGCCACCTTGAAGATAACTAAAACAATGGACTTTTTAGGAGTCATTCTCACAGGAGACACTGGAAGTGGCAGGGAATATGCTCACTGATTGCTCATGGGGTGGTGGCCTCCATAGTCCTCCACCCACCTCTAGGGAAGAGCTTCTGGGGGCCTGGAAGGACTTCAAGGGGGCCTAGAAGAAAGCTGGGGACAGACTTTTGAGCAGGGGCTGTTGGGACAGGACAAGGGGGGATGGTGTGAAACTAAAAGAGGGAGATTTAGACCAGAGAGAAGGAAGAAATGTTTGACCCTGAGGGTGGTGAGCCCCTGGCCCAGGCTGCCCAGAGAGGTGGTCGCTGCCCCATCCCTGGAACCATCTCAGGTGAGGTTGGATGGAGCTCTGAGCAACCTGCTCTAGCTGCAGTTGGACTTAATAACCTCAAAAGGTCCCTTCCCACCCAAACCATTTCAGGATTCTAATTAATGGCTCAGGTAAGAAATTGGGGGTGAAATTCTGACTCCTGAGGAAGCTTCCAAAGAGCATCTCCCCAAGGAGTCAGCAGCTGCCCAAAACATCTCCAACCTATTGTTTCAGGACAATTGCAGAGATGTTACTCCAGCAGCATTGAATGAAGAGCTGAAAGGAGCACAAGAAGACCTTGAAGCTTTTATGACTTCACCATCACAGGGTTTCTTTCAGTGGCCTGAAACAACTGAATGCAAAATCAAGATTTTTAAGCAGTCAGGAGTTGGTATCTATTGATCTTTCTAGAGGAGCCCAAAGCTGTTTGGGGGCACTCAGGTTGAACATCTGAGCCAAGATGTGACATGAAATTATTTTAGAAACTGTGGTTGAGGGAGAAAATTTCTCATGCCTTGTTGGGTGCAGTGGTGGCTTTGAATTGGCTTGAAAACATGCAGGTTGGCATGGCTTGGAATTATGGAATGGTTGGAAAGGACCTCTAGGATCATCAAGTCCAACCTTCCTCCCAACCACTAGACCATCAGCTAGACCAAGTAGCTGGAATATAACCAATGAAGGTGGGAAAAAGCCCCTCCCTTCCTACACTGCCTTTGTTGGGAGTGGGCAAGCAGAACTTCTGGCAGAAGTTACAACATTCTTCAGAGTGACCCCACAGTGGGAGAACTTCTCACCTCAGTGAAACACCACCAAGAAGAAAAATGTAGAGTTTGGCTAAAATCCAAGTGAAAAAACTTGTTCTAAAGAGGCTTTTGTGATTAATGGAGATGGGCACCAATTAATTCTCTACAAATTAATCTGCATGTAGCCAGAAGAGGAATGGTTTTAGAGTATGGAGACATCTTCCATGCTTTATCCATGGAAGCCCATGATAGATTTATTATCTCCACATCTAAGACAGTCCATTCATCAGAGTTATTCATGGACACGGTAGAAAATAAATCTCCTAAACTCTGTGTGGTATTTCAAACCAACTGAGACATTTTCAATTTACTGGAGAGAGCAGCAGAGTGCAGTGCAGCATGGAAATGATAAAATAAAGGTAGGGGAACCCAAAGGCTTCATCTTGGAGCAGGAGTATCATAAAATCCAGGAAGGGACCTTTCAAGGTCACCCA